GAGAATTCTTATTTTTTTAAATAAAATTTAATTTTCCTCACCAGCAATACGTGCAACTTCAATATTGTTTCGTTCTTTTATTTCAGCAACAATATGAAATTTTTGTTTTGTTCGTTGTGGATTATTTGTTATAGCTAAAATTGTTTTTATAACACTAACATCAGGATTCTCATTGAATGGTGCTAAAATAATTATTGATCGAGCATTATTTGGTGATAAGATATTTAAATCATGTATAGACATTGGATCACCATTACGACAAATTATTTTTGTATTTTTATTTTCATCAATTTTTTGCGATATTATTTCTTGCATTTCAATACGATCTTTCGATGCTAAAATAACAATTGATGGGTTATGTTGATTTTCGTTGGCAATAATTAATTCATTAATTATATCAAAGATTTTTGATGACCAACCAAGTATAACTATACAATAAGAAGAATAGAATTTAAAATTTGAATAAATCTATTTACTTGTATGATTTGTTTCAATAACCTGTGTACGTCCTTTACGTAAATCAGCTAGTTTTCCTTCCATACCTGTTGTTAATGCACCGATTAATGTTGATATAATAAATATTCCACACATAGTTACTGTTGCTGAAATTAATCGATGAATACCACCAGTATCTTCAGATGCTGAACCGGGATCTATGAAAATTCTTATACTATAGAAATATTTCAAAAGACAAAATCTAACCAAGTGTACGCATGAAAGTTTCCCATAATGATTGTGAATATGTACTAGCTTCTCCATTCCATAGATATAATGATGAAAAAATAAGTATTAAACAAATAGATATTAATGCAAGAATAGGAATAATAACAACAGGACCTGCTGCAAATATATTATCGGATTTATATTTAAACCAAGCACGAAAATATGATATATAATGAAAATTTTGTTTCTTATTCCAATAGGAATTGAATGATGTTAAATAAGTTCTTTTCTTTGTTTTCATTGATAATATACAGAGAAATATTTTTTTTTCATTTGATTTTTAACATTAAAATCAACACGTTTATATCTGGATATCGATTCATCTAATCTACTTTTGTATTTGCATTAACAATATACTTTTAAAGTTCAATCGGTTTTTTTTTGCTTGAAGGTATATTTAACAAATCATATTACAAAGATTAATTGTATACTCATTAAAAATTCAATTTTATCAAAAAAAGGATTATTAGAATTTATTTTCTCATTACAATCTTTCTTCCAGCAAAAGAAAACCACTTATATCATTATAATTCCAAAGTATGAAATATTGACAGACGCGTAGTTTTATTTCTTACTATTAATAGGATAACCTTCATACTTTTTAACTTTATTGTTTTTTATGAACTGTAAATTATATGTAAAATAAGAGAGTATAATCGATAGGTGTTATATTTATTAGATTGTTCAGTTGAAATAAATTAGTATACATCAACGCCTACGTTATCAGAAAAAAGAAAAGGAAATATGTTTCTCAGCACCGGAAATCGGTTGCACACGTCTTTATATTTACATGAGATATATTGTATCAGAAGTTCTTTTATTCTCTTTTTAATTATTATTCAACGCTGTTGTTATTATTTTTCCTATTAAAGATACTTTTATTCAGATATAAAAAAGACTTGTACTTTACTTTATCTAAAACATACTGTGTTTCTAAATATATATACTTAGAAGTTCGCGTGAATAATTTTTATGACTTTTTGAAAACAAATAATATCTGTTTTCTATTACTTTACAATTAACTAATCGTTATTTTATCGTTTTTTACTCGATATTACGTGAGTTTCATATAGAGTGTATATTCATGTAAATAGAGAGTAGAGTAAAAACAGACGAAATTTAACTTCTCAGTTGAGCAAATTAAGCAATGCAAAGAATAAAAATAGTACGAATAGTATGCTTATTATTAAGAAAATAAAATAATTTCCTATATGTGTTTTAATATATGATTGAGTTGTTAGAAATAAAAGAAAAGGCGAGGGTAACAAAAGCTATCCTATTGCATGTTTTATGGTCATTTATAAAAAAAGTCATGACTAGAACAGCATCATTTTAAGAAAGTGAGTACTATTGTAATTATCAACGCCCTTTTTTTTCTAATTTTAGTAGATACTAAGATTATATAACTACTTTTATTCTTTTCAATGAGATTTGTTCATCTAAGTATCATGACTTTGCGTCATAACGATCTTGAAAAGTTCTCTATAAAATATAATTATTTCTTTATTTTTACATTAGTATTGTGAAGAGTAGCAGAAAAAGCAAATTAATTTGTCAAAGAAATTAGCAGTTTCTTTTTGAAAAAAGTTCCTGATATTACAACTGTTTCTTATAAAATGTATATGTCGTCATCTCAGAATTTCTACTTTATTCTTCTGAAGTTGTAACATGTAAAAAAGTTCGTTAGGATGACGTTGATGCTAAATTGATCAGCTTTATCATGTACGTATTAAATTAGTACCATTAGTATTCATCTTAAAAGTTCAGTGAATACATAATGTAATCATCATAATCGTTTATCAAATATGTGTTTTTATTTTTTCTTAATGATATATCATGCGTATTGAACTAAATAATTTTTATATAAACGAAGAAAGTTTCCGTATACATTCTTTTTTTGCTTCTCAATTGAGTGAAAAAAAATTGTAGATGCTAGTTATTTTCCTCCTCTGCTTCTTTTTCTTCTCTCGTTTTTTTTGTTTTTTCTTCTCACGTAGAATAGATATAACTAATAGTCTATTCTATCTACTTTTCTCTCAATTTCTTTCGTATTTAAAGTCTTGTCTAATGATAAGGTGATATATTACATTAACTTTCTTTAGACAAAACAATATGAGTAAGTATTCATGATTAGAGATATATCTGAAAATCTTTTAGTAAATTGGTAAATTACAAATCTAATGAAGATGGACAGAAATAAACAGGAAACTATATTGATTCTTTTTTTTCTCTAGATAACTGACTGTCCTATTTTTACTTCTTATATATCCAAAAAAGTATTAAAATTAAAATTAAAATCATGTCAAACAAAGCATTAATCAGCTCAGTTCTAGTTAATATGTTACCAACTTTTTCAACTGGTTCAAATTCCTTTTTTTCAAGATTTGTGATGATCAGTACTATCTTTGTTCTTTTTATCACATTTTTACCATATGCTTCCTCTTCACCTACACCCTCATCCATTTCAATGGAATCTAACAACAATAATAATATTGATAACAAAATTGTTCATGATTCAAATGCATTTATGTTTAATCCAAATAATTATCAAACAAATTTACAAGATGATTCATCGGCACCATCATCAGCATCATCCGTCCATGAACAACAAATTTCTGCACCATCATCACCAATCTGGTTTGGACAACCACGTACACAAGCTAATCAATTTTTAATGTCGCATGTCAACGATAATGATATCATTGTACCAAAATGGTTTGTACGACATAATAATAATGATGACGATGATGATGATGATGAGATCAATGATTATATTCCATCTGGTATTGTAGTCAACAAACGATCATCATATTTTAATGCTGGAGGACATCAAACATTAAAGAAGCGTAAACAACAAGCAAAACCACCTATGGAAGTGATGAATGAAATTGTCAATTCCATTTATCTTTAACGTTAAAAAGAATTCGAGAAAATGCGAAGAAAATTTTGACAAATAGTCACTATTTTTTAACCAAGTTGCTACTTTCTATTGTATTGCTTGAGTTAATAAATAATTGACAAATAAAAATATTATTTCCTTAATATTGATAAATCTTATTTCTACTATTTGACCTTTTCAAAAAAAAATCGTGATGCAATATGATCAACATTCTTCTTTTATGTCTAGTACAAAACCTGGATAATTTCTCATTTTCATCTTATTAATAACTTCTCATATTATTGAATACACTGATATTTATAAGTATTTTTATCGTGAGATGTAAAAAACAGACTTTTATAAATAACAAAAATTGATGTCTTTGAATTTAGTGATTCATGTTTCTATAAATAATTATCAATTGTATGTTTTTGAAATCATGCAAAAGTCTGCGTGGTAACTAGAAAAAAAGATGTGTTCTTGTCATTTCATTTGAACTGTTTATTACAAAAAGCGTAAATATAGCATTTTGTATAATAAAGATCTGCTCATTGATATGAGTAATATCACACCGAATTAACATTCATGTATTATTAAAATTGTCCTCATCAGAGACCATTATCATCATCATCTTTTCTTGTTTTTATCTTCATTTTAGTTTACTTATATATATTTTTTAATATATTTAATGCTTGTCTTAATGATTATATTTAGTTATTTTGATGTAAAAAAAGAATGAATAATTTATAGGAATATATTAAAGAATATGATATTATCTATGTTATAAGATTTTTATGTTTGCGATAATCGCAAGTTATTTATATAATGAATGTTTCTTCATGTTCCACATAAAAATATTACTTCTTATCGTCAGGTTTTGGGCGTAATACGTCTAGACTTTGCGATTCTTTAAACTGCAATATTAAAATTAATTTAAAATACCTTGATTCATGAGAAGAGAAAACTTACAAGATATATTCAATTATAATACTTAGTTTTTTATTATCATGAGATTTCCCGCTGATGCTTTTATCTTTTTATTTAAAGTAAGATCTCATAGAGATTTTACTGGAAATAGTAGTGAGTGACATCTATGTCAGATGTCATAATTAAAAACTTAATAAAATTTCTCAAGTATATTGGAATTAAATTAGAAAAAAAGAAAAAATTGAAAAGAATTGACTTTGTTTCATGTTATCATTCTAAATATTTCTTATGAAATCGACATTTGTATATTATGATTCGTGTTTAAGTATTCCATAGAATACATTTACGAATGTAAATAGTAATTCATCTTCACAAATATCTATTCAATTTTGAAAGAAACAACTAATATATTTAATTTACTAATATTTCAAATTTTTAGATCTTTCGTTTCTAAACATTCTTAGGCAATACCATGGGTCCCAAATTCGATCCAGCAGCCGTTTACGAAAGTATGAAATTTTTTTCTTGTTTTTTATGTATTCAATATATTATGTATAGTTATGATTCGTGTCACCGGTGGTGAAGTACCAGGTGGTTCATCATTAGCCCCAAAAATCGGTCCTCTTGGTTTAGTGAGTATAAATATCTAATTTCTTCTTATATGAATTAATTCTATTCTTTGTATAGTCACCAAAAAAAGTGGGTGATGATATTGCTAAAGCAACAGGTGAATGGAAAGGCATGCGTGTAACAGTAAAATTAACTGTTCAAAATCGTAATGCAAAAATCGATGTAATTCCATCAGCATCATCACTTGTTATCAAAGCACTTAAAGAACCACCACGTGATCGAAAGAAACAAAAGAATAGTAAAAATTAAACTTTTGTTTTTTTTTAAATTTATTTTTATTAATTGTTCTAGTTAAACATGATGGTAATGTTTCACTCGATGAAATCTATAAAATTGCTCGAATTATGCGACCAAGATCATTAGCAAAAGCATTCGATGGAACTGTCAAAGAAATACTTGGTAATATTTGTAACAAAAAGAAAATAAAATTTTTCTATGTTTTATTATTATTTATAGGCACAGCTCAATCAGTTGGCTGTAAAGTAGAAGGCTCTCATCCACATGATATTATTAATCAAATAGATAATGGTCAAGTTGATGTACCACGAGAGTAAATGAAAAAAAAAAATAAAATAAAAATACAAACATCACAAAGATTTTTTGTTAAGAAGAAAAATAAATAAAGAAGATATCATCAAGACTTTATTTAAGTTATATCGTTTGTTTTGATTATAACTGTTTTTTTCTAATAAAGTCAAAAATGAAACTTCGATTTGAAATAATTTAACAACATTCTTTTTTAAAATATAACAAAAGATCAGCAAATTTAATTGAGGGTGTGGGTGTGGTGTGG